TACAAGTCTCTCCCTCCTTCAAACATACACACAGGGCCTGACTCAGCCAGCGTCTGCCCCAGATCACAAGTATGGCGCCAACAGGTAGGTATCCAACATATCCAACGTCACAACTTGTCTTCTCTCTCTCTCTCTCTCTCTCTCCTCTCTCAAGATCTCTGTCCTGGTTCCCTTGCACGCACACTCCCTATCTACGAGAATCTATGCTGAATGCTACTCACTGAAGTCCTACCACTAACCCTTCTACTACTATTAACACAAGCTGGCGCAGCTATGGCTTCCCTGCAGCCAGCGGCCAGCCCTCCTTCCTTTTGGCCCAGCTCTCTCTCAGCCAACGCTCCTCCCTGCACTATAGCGCACAAGTTCCTCAGCACTTCCACGCATCAATGCTCATGGGGAATTTGCCTTGTGGGGAGGCTGCCTCGTTCTTTATAGTGTTGGCCTCCCCTTGCGAGGTCTGAATTCGTCCAGGGGTACAACCGTGACCTTTGACATGACTTTTGCTTTAGTTAGGATGTGACTTTTGACCCAGAGAACATGCCTGTTGATCTGCTTTTCACGAGTTAGGTTCTGATCGAGTGACCCCACTAAGTTGCTCTAGTCAATCAGGGTCTGAATCGGGTAAAGGCCCTTTTACATCCTCTTATCCGCTTCGGGTGTGTTCTGGGCTCTCTCTCCTGTTTCTGAGTTGTGCCATTCTTTCCAGCATACTCGAACATTTCGTAACTCTGCCGCTTTGCCGTTCTCCAACCCCTGCCCATTAAAATTATTCCTGGCCTTCTCTTGCTGATCCTCAACCTCGGGCCTCGTCTGCCTTCATCTCTGTCTTCTACCCGGAATTCAGCCTGTAGCATATATCTTGACTGCGCCCGTGCCTTCTCTCTTAAGTTGGGCTGGCCCTCGACAGTCCCGCATCCTCTTTCCTTTCATATGATATTGGATGCCACCTTCCTGATCAGTCTGAACCACAATCTTTCTGACTTTTGGAACGAATTTAGAATGTTAGTCGAGGAGAGGGTTTGAAAGGGGTGCTTAGGGAAGGGAGCATTGAAAGGTAGGATCCAGCCCGCTGAAAATCGAGCCCAGTATTCCGTCGCCTCACTACTTTGAATTAGGCAGTGCATTAAATCTTCTTGGATGCCCTTTGTGACGTCCGATGGCCCGTCTTCTCTCCACTAGTCCTTTTGTTTTTTAGATTAGTCCCAGATTTTGAATATAATTTTGCCCTCCTTTATTTCTGCGAATCTGTTCTCACTTAGCCAGCTTCTTTCAAAGTTTTGTTGGCTCAATTCCCGCTTATCTCGTTGGATAATTCTCTGTTGTGCTTTTTGTTCCCTGCTCCATTGAACTCTTATCTCCGTTTGTGCTATGTCTTTGATTTCGGTCCACTTCTCTTGTTCGCTGATATTTTGTCCCGCTAAGGTGCCTTTGCACCTCGCTTTCCAGATTACCCACAGGGTCGCTCTTCTCAATAGGTCTGCCAGCACCATGTTCTCTTCTTCAAGATCCTCATCTTCTTTCCTTCCTGATAGTAAATAAATTATATTTGAAGGGTATACCTGTCCTGTTAGTTTGGCCCACAACGCTCAGGTTCTACCCCAAAGTTCTTGAGCCCGTTGGCAGTGTATCAAGCATTGCGTCAATGTTTCTTCAACATTCTCATTGCATACTTTACACCAGACCTCTTGCTGTTGGTGATCCTCTTGCTTCTTTCTTCTTCCCAACCATTGATTGACCGGGACCGCCCAGTATATAATTAGCCATTGTAGGTTTCTGATCCTTGTTGGTCTTATGTTGGCATACTGGTTCCATGGAATTTTGCCTGCCCATTTTGCGTTTTCTCCCAGATTTTTCTTCCATCTTTCTGATATAGCCGGTTGGGGGTTCTTCGTTTGGTTTCTTAGTCTATACCCTACTTTGACCTCATAATCGTAGAGCGCTGTGAGTTTTCTAGCTCCTCCCTCACTGCTGGGGATTAGTCAGCCCCATTCCGCTGGGTCTACTTCCAAATCTTTTATGTCTTACTCCGG